TGTTCTAAAGCTATGTCATAAAAATATTTATATTAGATATGATTTGAGAGAGGCTGAATGATTTCTCTAAACAAATAAACAACATGGAAGTAAATTCCTTTACTCCAAGAGTCATAAAGTCACTCCATCTTGTCAATTATTGACAGACTATAGCCAGGGCGATGGTGGGGACGGAGGAGGGAAGTAATTTCTAGGAGCTGTTACAGCTACTTAAGGCCATAGCCAACTTTGGCCATCCTCCTGCCCTTGTGACAGTGTTAAGCTGTACTATGCAAACATTGCTAACTGCATAGTTTGGTTCATTGATTAGCACAGAAGTAAACAGAAAGTGACAACGCAACTGAGCTGTTAGTCACAGCTCTTACAACAACCTTTTTGCCTTTGGCATGGTAAAGATCCAAAAAGGTGGCCCTCCAAGAGGGATGGCCATTGCTGGAAAGAATGCAGATAATTCATCTGTAGGCATTTTATGTCACTGCCGGACAAATCAAAGAAAAGGAAAGGTAGTAGAAAGGTGTTTTTTGTTTATACCTTACATGCCTTACAACTGACACTTCGTAGCACTCGGAAAAGTTATTAGAGCTTTTCTTCCTGCATCCTTCCTCACTTTTTTTTTTAAATGGATTAGCTGAGTTTCAGCATAACTAACTGCTTAAGATCACAAAGAGCAGTGACTGGAAGAGAATGCAGTGCCCTCTGCTCCCAGTAAAAGCAGCTTATGAAAATTCCTCTTGAACTAATAGTCTAACTAAAAGGGGTAAGAGACATAAATCAGTAAGAAAACAGGAGGAAAATATTATCCAGCTTTTTTCAGTTACAGAAGCACTTTAGGAGTTCTGCCTTTTAGAATAGGTTGGGGTATTTTTACAGATCCACTCACCGTGTTTATAACCACTGCTCCTCCAGGGACTCTAATGTTTTTAGTGCCAACAACAATGATGAGAACTCTAGAACAGAGAGGCTGGAATTTGTTGGCATCTATGATTATATGAGTTTAGCTACCTTGTTGACTTGTAATAGCTGCAAAATTCGGAGCGGGGGGAGGCGGGAAACTCTTGTAGACTAAGCTGTTACAATAGTATTTATGATGTAACATATTCTTGCAGAGCAACCTACAAGATTGCAGCTTTGACTTTTTTTCATGTGGGAATGTTTGGAGGATTATGAGCTTGCCCCTGTTTTATTCTGTTCACACAACTACTGTGTACCAGATAGACAGAAATTTCAGAACTGGGAACTAACTTAACTAACGTTTAAAACTGCTATGCAGGTTCACCCTCTGAATCTCTATTCTTTTACCTGTTGAGCTCTGCCTTCATTCATAGCCACCAGTATACTTACTAGTCACTCTAGTTGGGAAAAAAGTTGAAAAAAAAATCGAGCATGCAAAGCAATGTGTCTTAGATTTGGAAACACCATGGATATTTCCAGTATAGCATCACCTCCTCCTCACAATGACTGCGATAATTAGTTTTAGCTTCCTCACCAGCCATAGCAAAACCACCCAAAATCACTTCATCGTCAGGGTCGCAGATCCACTTCTCACAGCACTCTCCGGGGACCTCGATCTTTCTGGGGAAGGGGCAGTCGGGGCCGGGAAGCAGCAGGTCCAGGTTGCAGCGGGGCAGACAGCCGATCTGCCCGTCGCGGCAGGTGCACTGGTACTTGCAGCTGGGCTGAAACGTCTCTCCGTTGCGATAGATCATCCCATCGAACACGCAGTTGTCGCCCTCCAGCACTGGTGGGAAAAGGGGAGGCGTTTCGCCCGC